CAATGGAGGATCAGCAAGTAAAGAAAGAAAGATAACTAGGATCAAAACATAAAAACACCTCATATAGTAAGTTGTTGGAACTTTATTTAGCATGTAACAGAAAGCTCTTGAAAATACTCAATGAAAGAAAGGTTGATCTGAGATAAGAATTCCAGTACTCAAGAAAGCTAAGCAGAAGATAAGCACCAGAACAAGATAGACATAGTGGGAATAAAGACAAAGATTAGGAAGTAAAGCTAATAGGACTAAAAGTGAGTGGAATCAGAAGAGAACCATGTACCAAGTACCATGTCTACATGACTGTATGAGCAACAGAAATTATCAACAGAAACAGGAAATCAAAAGAACAGGAAAGGAAGATGATAAATTTAACTGGGGACATGCTAAAACTAAGTTCATGATAAAACAACCAGGAGGTACTAACAGTCAGAAACACAGGATAGAAGCTGGGAAAATACGAATTTGATTTAGAGGGGAGACTCACTAGAGCTAATCATTAGATTCATGTGTATAGATGAATTCAAAATGTGAATGCTCAGAGAGAAGAACCAAGGATAGCAGTGATAGAATATTTACACTTAGGTTACAAGAAAGGAAGAGGAAGGCCAGGCATGGTGTCTTAAACCTTTAATCCTACCACTGTAGGAGGCCAAAGTGGGAGGATCATTTGAGGCCAGAGTTCAAGACCAACCTGAGACCCAGTCCCTACAAAAATCTGAAAAATTAATCAGGCATGAAGTACATGCCTGTAGTCTCAGCTACTTGGCAGGCTGAAACGGGAGAATAACCTGATCCCAGGAGTTTGAGGCTGCAGTGAGCTAAGATTGTTGTCACTGTACCCAAGCCTGGGTGACAGAGTGACTCCCTGTCTCTAAAAACAAAATTTTAAAAGTTAAAAAAAAGAAAAAAGAGGAGATGGAGAAGTTAGAGACAACAGGATGTAGTATTACCCTAACCAAGACAAACCTTTGACAGGTAGTAAGGGTAAATAATGTGATATGCTGCAGGAACTGAAGAAGAGACCTTGAATTTGGAATCAATAAACCTAACCTAAGATGCAAAAGGCTACAGACCAAATTGAAGGTGAAATATCAGAGACCGTAAACACACCTTTTTTTTTTTTTTTTAAATTTTACAAGGATGGGGGTTGTTTTCATATTTCAACAAATAAACCTCAAGTGAAAAGAGAAAGTAACTACAGTACATCAAGGAGACAGCTAGACCTAAAAGGGGGCTTCTTTTTGATTCTGAATAATACAAAAGTTAAGTATTTTTATGCAAAGTAATAAAGTTGTCAATAGAGGATAATGTTGAAAATAAGGGTAAAATAAAGTTTGATAATTTACAAAGTACTTTCACATAAATTATCTCAACAACTAAAGCTAAGGAAGTGACTTGCCCAAGTTCACACAGTGTAATTTAATCCTGAAGTGCAAAGGTGCTGAAGATTGGATGCTTCTGTTAAAAACATTTTTAAGGTCAGGTACAGTGGGTCATGCCTGTAATCCCAGCACTTTGAGGGGCCAAGGCAAGTAGATCACCTGAGGTCAGGAGTTTGAGATCAGCCTGGTCAACATGGTGAAACCCCATCTCTATTAAAAATACAAAAAAATCAGCTGGGTGTGGTGGCATGTGCCTGCAGTCCTAGCTACTCAGGAGGCTGAGGCAGGAGAATCACTTGAACCTGGGAGGTAGTGGCTACAGTGAGCCGAGATTGCACCATTGTACTCCAGCCTGGGTAACAAAGCAAGACTCCACCTCAAAAAAAAAATTTTAATTTCAGCTCCATTGCTATTACTTAATCATTGATATGATTTGGATCTGTGTCTCCACCAAATCTCAAATTAAAAGTAATCCCCAGTGTTGAAGGTGGGGCCAGGTGAGAGGTGTATGGATCATGGGGGTGCCATCCCCTTCATGATGAGTAAGTTCACACAAGATCTGGCTGTTTAGAAGTGTGCGGCCCCTCCCACTCTCTCTTACGCTCTCTCTAGCCATGTAAAATGCATGTTCCTGCTTCACCTTCCACCATAAGTAAAGGTGGCCTCCCCAGAGGCCTCCCCAGAAGCTGAGCAGATGCAGGCACCATGATTCTTCCTGTACAACCTGTAGAACCATAAGCCAATTAAACTTTTCTTTATAAATTACCCAGTCTCAGGTATTTCTTTATAGCAATGCAAGAGCAACTTAACACAGTCATTCCAAACCCTACCTTATTCAATCTTATAACTGGAATGATAATGCTTACATGTTGTTATGTGTGTCTAATGAGATAATGTGCAGAAAATGCTAAGCCTTACTAATACACAGTTTAAAACAAAAAAGTTAGTTGATTCTCAGAATAAGAGCCCAGGTTTTCTAACTGCAAGTTACAAACCCACTCTTGTTCTACAAATTGCTGACAAAAGAAATAGGATAAGTAATGATGCAGGTTAGAAAACAGAAGGGAGTATGAAATAATTAAACAATGGGAAGATTCTCTAAAAAAACAGGCTACAACTTTCTCTGAGATACACAGAAAGAATAATGCAAATGAAGATAAACATTAGTGAGGAGAAAAGAAGGCTAAGAAAGATAAAGGAAATCGTTGAAATTGCCAGTCATCAACAGAGAATTAAGATAAACTAAGTAAAAATGGGAGGTAGTGAATCTACAGCCATCTGTCACCACCACCAGTCCTGTCCCTGAGCAAAGAAAGAATGAAAATAGCTTATCTGCATAGAAGAGACAACTTACAGGAATACATTTTTTTATTGCACTTCATTTTACTGTGCTTCACAGATACTGCATTTTCTACAATTAAAGGTTTGTGGTAATCCTATGTGGAGCAACTTTATTGATGCCACTTTTCCAACAATATGTGATCACTTTGCATCACTGTGGCATATTTTGACAATTTTCACAATATTCCAAATGTTTTCCCTGTAATTATATATGTTATGGTGATCTGTGATCAGTGATCTCTGATGTTAATATTGTAATTGTTTAGGGGTGCCATGAACAGCACCCATAAAAAACAGTGAACTTAACTGATAAATGTCATGTGTGTTCTAACTGCTACACTGACCAGCCTTTCTTCTCTCTCCCCCTCTACCTGGCTTTCTCTATTCCCTAAGACAGAACAGGCCTAATAATGAAAATAAGCCAATTAATAACCTGAAAATGACCTCTAAGTGTTCAAGTGAAAGAATCACATCCCTCTCACATTAAATCAAAAATTAGAAATGATTAAGCTCAAAGAGAAAGGCAATGTTGAAAGCCACAACAGGTCAAGAGATAGGCCTTTTGCCCTAAACAGCCAAGTTCCGATTGCAAAGGAAAAATTCTTGAAGAAAATTAAAAGTGCTACTCCAGTGAACATACGAATAATAAGAAAGCTTAACACCCTTATTGCTGATATGAAGAAAGTTCGAGTGGGCTAGATAGAAGATCAAACCAACTGTAACATTTCCTTAAGCCAAAGCCTAATCCAGAGTGAGGCCCTAATTCTCCTCAATTCTTTGAAGGCTACAAGAGAGGTAAGAAGCGGCAGGCAGAGGAAAAAGTTTGAAGGTAGCAGAGGTTGGTTCATGTGGTTTAAGAAAAGAAGCCATCTCCATGACATAAAAGTATAAGGTGAAGGAGGCGCTGATGCAAAAGCTGCAGCAAGTTATCCAAAAGATCTAGCTAAGATCACTGATAAAAAGCTGGCTACAAAACAAATTTTCAATGGAGGTAAAACAGCCATCTATTGAAAGAAGATATCATTTAGCACTTCCATAACTAGAAAGAAGTCAACGCCTGGCTTCAAAGCTTCAAAGGACAGGCTGACTCTTGTTAGGTGAATGTAGCTGGTGGTTTTAATGGAAACCATCACTTATTTACCATTCTGAAAATTCTATGGCCTTTAAGAATTATCCTAAATCTACTCTGCCTATGCTCCATAAATGGAACAACACAGCCTGGATAACAGCACATCTACTAACAGCATGATTTACTGAATATTTTAAGCCCATTTTTCAGACCTACTGCTCGGGGAAAAAAAATTATTTTGAAAATATTAATGCTTGCTGACAATGCCCTTAATCACCGAAGAGCTCTGATGGAAATTAACAAGGAGATTAATGTTACTTTCATGTCTGCTAACACATCCATTCCATAGCCCATTCAACAAAGACACATTTAGACTTTCAATCTTATTATTTAAGAAAAACATTTTGTAAGGCTATAGCTTCCATAGATAGTGATTCCTCTGACAGATATAGGCAAATAAACTGAAAACCTTCTGAAAAAAATGCATCAGTTTAGATGCCATTAAGAACATTCACAATTCATAGTCAGAATGTCAGTATCAACAGAAGTTTAGAAGATGACTCCAACCCCCAGGGATGACTTTGAGGGTTGAAGACTTCAGTGGAGAAAATAATTGAAGATGTGGTAAAAATAGCAAGAGAACAAGAATTTAAAGTAGATCAAACTTGAACAGATGAGGAGTTGTTTCTTTTGGATCAGCAAAGAAGGTAGTTGAGTGAGGTGAAATCTAGTGTTGGTGAAGATGCTGCGAATATTGTGGAAACGACAATGGATTTACAAAATGTAAACTTAGTTGATAAAGCAGAGACAGAGTTTGAGAGGACTGACTCCAATTTCAAACAAATACCTTTGCCACTATTAATTCCACTAATACCCTTCCACCCTCTGGTAACCATCATTCTGCTCTCTATGTCTATGAGTTCAATTGCTTTAATTTTTTTTAGCTCCACAAATAAGTGGGAACATGGAAAGTTTGTCTCTCTGTTCCTTGCTTATTTCACTTAACATAATGACCTCCAGTTCTAACCATGTTGTTACAAATGACAGGATCTCATTCTTTTTTTGTGACTGAGTAGTAGTCTATTGCGTATATATCCAACTGAAGTAGCATAACATAATTTGTACAGGAAACAATTACCCAGTTGGGTTGGGAAAAACATGTCCAGTTTATGCTGACTAAACTCTCAATGCTGAAAGAAATGAATTACCTCTAGATTACTTCTCCTTGCCTTTTCTTCTTCCAAGTCTTTTCTCAGTTTTTCCAGTTCTTTCCTAAAAATAAAATACTTATTACTGTTAAGTCTTTCATTAAACCATTTATCTGACTAATGCTTACAGAGTTTTTGTTACCTAACCTCCCAGTACATGGGAAAAACCTAAGGGCAACAGCAATGTAAATTAAGAAAAATATAAGATTCTCTAGTTAGAATGGTTCAATATAACAGTTAAAAATTCGGCAAAACCAAGGCAAACCTATCTGAGATCAAGAAATTAAGCAAATTCAGAGCAGCTCATAAAATCAAGATAGAAATAATATCTAAGAAATTTTCTGTATTCAGCTATCATACATTTTCCAGGTTGGAAACCTCAAAGCCCAAGCGATTTGGCAAAATGACTACGTATCAGCACATCAGAATACAAGGCAAGTTAACAGTTTTATCTGATAAGACAACCTAGACTTTAAATTTCTCTATTTTTAAAAATGAAATACCACATTAAAATCCAAAAACCAAACAAATTAAAAACTCTAGCCAATAATCTCTCTTAATTCACGTTTTCATCTCCTGTGTTCCCTTCTAAACTTTCTAATACCGTTGTCCTTTTTTCTATAGCTTTAGTGAATATTCAATATTATGCCTTTCACAAATTTTAGACCACTTTCTTGCTGCTAAAATTTTCATATATCCAGTTTTTTGTTTGGCTGATTCATTATTTTGGAGACAGAAGCAGTGGAAGGAATCGAAGAATGGTATAGAAGGAATGGGAGGAATATGTTAGCATATCAAATTTCTAAATCAAAAGTATGGACATTTTCAGTCTCAATATATACTAGAAAAATTCTTCAGAGTACTTACTGTAGAAATAACAGCTTGAAAAAGTAGGAAAGAAAAAACTAATGAAGAAAAAATTATAAGGAAGGAATTTCAAAGTTATTTATATAGTGTTTCAAAACTAACTTCTTGACAGTAATTTCTTAGTGATATCTAAGCTATAAAGATCTACTATCATAAGAATAAAGCAAAAACTTCTGAACTCCAAGTCAACTAAAGAAATAAAATATTACCAGTACCTCTGATATCCCAAAAAGTGATCCTCTTGCCTTAATCCTATCTGCCATTCTCTCCCATAGAAAAAGTTTTATAGTATTTATTATTCATTTGTTCTTCTAATTTTGCCACATGCACAAAATTACGACAATATATTTTCTGGTTTGGTATGCTTTTCAACTTTATATAAATGAAATATACTGACTGCATGTATGCTTCTGACCTGCTCCTTCCCCCCAACATTTAGATTAATTCATTTTGATGTTGAAATTTACTTTTACTGTTGTATGCCGTGTAGCATCTCTCTTTTAATACACCAATAGTATTTATCCTTTCTCCTGTTGATGCTGTCTACATTAAAAAATAAATTAATTAATTAATTAAAACCTGACATCCAGTTTCACTTTTCAAGAGGAACTCAAGATATTGAAAATAGCCCTTGGAAAGACTTCTAAAATGTTTGGTATGTGTTTTAAAATATGTGTGTGTGTGTGTGTGTGTGTGTGTGTGTGTGTGTGTGTGTGTGTATAAATCAGAAATATTTTATTCATTCTAGAGCTAATTTAAGAGCATCTACAGGCAATATGTGTATGTAAAACAGTACAAGGTATAAAAAAGGTAAAACAACAAAATCAAATCAGGAGAGTTCTCTACCTAGTACATGGGTGATGATCAATAAATATTTACTGGACAAGTAAACTTACAGCTTATAATGTGCATGTTGCAGAATCTACTAAAAGAATCTTTCAAAACAGATGAACTAAAGGATTCCAAGAAATACCTATCGTGTATTAAATTATAAACTCTCTCTCTCTCTCTCTCTATATATATATATATATACACACACACACACATTATATATAATATATAAAATATATAACATATTTTTAAGTAGTCATTCAAAATACATTTTTTGTTTCTAAGAAATACCTGTAAGTTTTCTGCAAACTCCAAACACCTTAAACTGTTAATCTCAATATTGTTTTTAATAAGATTCCTAGGCCACCTTAAAATTGGAAAAGAAATGATAAAATCAGGCTCAGAGGTAACATGGCCTCTGGCCATAACTTTTCTGTTTTATTTTTTGTTCTTTTATACTTTTTATTTGGCTATAACTTTTATACCATATTCTGAGAAATCTTTTTAGAAGGGAAGTTGAAGACAAGGGATGAGCACGCTCACTCTCAATTCAATTAGATTAGCTGCTTTTTTTTTTTTTTTTTAAATCTATTTTACCTACTGCCTACTGGGCTTTTGTAGAACTATGCTTCAAATGCCAACAAGTTTTAAAATTCAAATACTAGTGGTTACAGAAAAGGTCTCTAAAACAATAGATAATACGGGTTTGAGTTCCAGCTCTGTCATTTAAGAACTGTGTGATCTTGGATAAGTAACTTTATCTATATAAACTTTTATTTCTTCATTTAAAAAGCCAGAGGGAGAGTTCACCTACAATAATGATCTTGTAAATGTGTTTTAGCTCTAAAAGTCCCTACCTAACTTTCAACTAGGGTATGTCTCAACATATACCATTATCAAAAAATTTTCAGAGTTAAGAGAAGGGTTTTAGAGATCACCTATCCCAATGCATTCATTTTATAAATGTCCAACTCAACCTTGCAGAAACAGTAATCAAATCCTCAAAAAGTAAGTTAACTATATATGTATAGATACATACCAGATCCAAAATACAGTATTTTTCCTAGTAGTTAAAAAAACTAATTAATCATGTCTGATCAGAAGATTTCTAGCCTAAAATTATGGTTATGTGTGTACATTTTCCACAATTCAGCTACTAGAATAACTTTACCAATTTAACTCTTTTGCAAAAAGAGAAAAGCACTGTTAATGAAAATTTCTTTGAAAACATACTTGCTCATACCAGAGACTGTTTTTTGAGACAGGGTCTCGGTTTTGTTTTTTGCCTGTTCACAGCTCACTGCCGCCTTGGCTTCCTAGGCTCAAGAGATCCTCCCACCTCAGCCTCCTAAGTAGCTGGGACTATAGGGATGCGCCAACATGCCTCGCTTTTTTTCTCTTTTTCTTTTTTTTTTTTTTTTGCAAGATGGCATTTTGGCATTTTGTATGTTGTCCAGGCTGGTCTTGAACTTCTGAACTCAAACCATCCTCCAATCTTGGTCTTCCAAAGTGCTAGGATTACAGGTATGAACTACCACACCCAGCCACAGATTAGATTTTTACTTAATAAGGTTTTAAAAAATTCTTTATGCATGAGTTAAGGAGTACTCATAGGAGAAAAGAAGGGCTACTTACCCATGATCCTTTTTCAGTGCTTCTACAGTGCACAACAATTCAATAATTTGGGCTCTAAGTTCATCCAGGAAATTTTTCTTCTCATCATCTGTTTCTACTTTAGCTTTGATTTCTAATGGAGTCAGGAAAGCAGTTGTATTTGCTTTAGAAGCACTGGAAGGTGTTGAAAGGTACACAGGTGGCTGAAAACATAATAAAAAAATCTTTTTTTCTGATTTTATTTTTATTTAATATTAAATTTAAGTTTAAAAGATTTTTACAGCAAGAAGAAAAACAAGTACTTCAAGATAAACGGCAAATTTGGAAATTCAAAAGCAACTTAATGTTCATAATGAAAAAAAATCGCCAGACAACTAAAGAATAAATTTGTAGTCACTAGATTTTGTGGGAAATGACAATGACTTTATTAAAAGAAGAAAAAAGGAAAAAAGAAAAATCCATCAAATGTACCTTATGGATGGTTTGCCTAGTGAAGCAGAAGCAAGAATGTAACAGCATTATAAAGGTATTATTTTGACTTTCCATATTCAATACTTATTGTGTGAATGTCCAAAGAGCTTCACTTAAAAGTAACTGTGAACAATTTAATAGGTTCAGGAAGAGTTAATAAAATGAGCCCATAGCCTGAAATAGCAGGTCATTTTAGTAAAATGTCAACAGACTGACGACAGCTAAGAAAATCAGATTATGTATATTTAATAACCTGGAAACACTGACAAAAATGCCCTGAAATGAAATTAAGGAATAATTTAGGAGGAAACCTAAATGACCTTCTTAAATGTGTGTCAGTTGTGGTAAAACTATGTTAAATAAAAATGGAAAAAATTTTGACAAGACACCTAACACCTTGTAACAGATGAAAGGACCCATGTACAGAATTCAGCATTCATTCCAGTATATACTGAATGCTTAATTATAGTGCTAAGCTAGGTAAGTACTCTACAAGTGTTTTTTTCTGACTATAAGAATATATGTTTAATGGAGAAATGAAAGAGATGTATAGATCTATGCCTAAAAAAAATATGAAATATGTAATATTTAAAATAATGTAAGCTCTTTTAAAAATATTTGCAGAAAATAGTGTGACAAAGCTAAACAACTCAATTTTTTACCAGTAATTATTTTATTTTGTGGGAGAAGAAACAATTCTTCATAGAAAACACCTTAAATTCCATATCTTTGATGTCCACAAAGAATCCCAGAAAGCCAACAAATCTTAGACAACAATGCGCCTCACCTTTGGAGAGTAGCATGTATCTTTTTTTAATTCAGATGGCTTTAGGTTGGCACTATCTTCTTCTTTTGGTAACTTGAAGATTTTTTCGGGGCTGTGAGTTGGCTAAATGATTATTTAAAAGTCAAGAGACATAACAGAACAAAGAAAGAAAAGCTAGTAAGTCTTTGGATAATAAAGCAAGTAACTTGTACAGATTTTCAGCTGCTACTGTTGCTGATATCCCATTACTAAATTAATAGGATGTTATACACTTTCAAGCTGAGTAATACATTTGCGTATCTTGAAGGTAAAAAAAAAAGCTTTCCTCTTAGCAAGAATTTTCTCCACTTAGATAATTTTAAACATACTATAGTATTTAAGAGCTAATATATTAACATTACAGTGCCACCAGTATTCCAGACAATGTAGAAAAAGCATAAAAAGAAGTTAACACATTTAGACACAAGAAAATGTACTACAAAAACAATGAATATTTCACGATGATCATCAGAGATGATATAAATCAAAACCACAATGAGGTATCACCTCACCCTAGTTAAAATGGTTTTTATCCAAAAGATAGGGAATAACAAATGCCGGCAAGGATATGGAGAAAAGGGAACCCTCGCACACTGTTGGGGAGAATGTAAATTAGTACAACCACTATGGAGAAAAGTTTGGAGGTTCCTCAAAAAACTAAAAATAGAGCTACTAACTGATCCAGCACTGCTACATATAACACCCCCCACACAAAAAAAGGGAAATCTGTATGTATAACAAAGAGATGGTTGCATTCCCATGTTTATTGTGGCACTATTCACAAGAATACAGCCAAGAATTGGAATCAACCTAAATGTCCATCAGCAGACAAATGGATAAAGAAGATGTGGTTCATACTGACAATGGACTACTATTCAGTCACAAAAAAGAATGAGATCCTGTTATTTGCAACATGGATAGAACTGGAGGTCACTATGTTAAGTGAACTAAGCCTAGTATAGAAGGACAAACTTTGCATGTTCTCACTTAAAAAATTAAAACGATTGAACTCAAGGAGATAGAGAACAGAAAGACTGTTATCAGAGGCTGAGAAGGGTGTTAGTGGGGTGGGGGTAGGGATGGAGAGATGGTTAATGAGTATGAAAAATAGAAAGAATGAGTAAGACCTAATATTTGCTAGCAAAACAGGGTAACTACAAGTCAAAAATAATTTAATTGAGCACTTAAAAATAACTAAGAGTACAATTGGACTGTCTGTAACACAAATGATAAATGCTTGATGAGATGGATACCGCTTTTACTTGCATTTTATGCCTGTATCAAAATATCTCACATAACCCATAAATACACACATCTATTATGTACCCTCAAAAGTTAATTTTAAAAATTTAGAAAAAAGAAAAAACAAACACTGAATATTTCAGGAGAAAAATTTTTCTCAATCTTTCCTAAAATGAGTATCTGCTGCTCAATTTTAATATCTGTTGTTGAAAGACAAATTAAACAGGTTCTTTCTTTGAAGCACCTTAAAAAGGTTCTTCACCCTTTAACCCTATGCTTTGTGGCTAAAGCCTCATAATAATTTCCTAATGATTCTGTAACCTTCCATTCCAGACCCTGTTGGAACCAACACACCTCTCTCCTTCTATATTTCCTTAAATACCAGCATTTGCTACTTGAGTATAACAGCTATACTCCTGATTTTTAAACTTAGGTAGAGCTATAAATCCTCTCTCTATCTTCAAACGGACTCTGTATTTGCTAAATCTAGTGCAGTTTACAACAGTTAGGTGAACTCACAGAATGTCCACCATTGAAGCGGCCCGGCAACCTTCTTCCAGGCATCTTTGGTCTATTTGCAGTGAGATGAAGCAAGTTTTCTGAGGAAGCTATGTCATCAAAATTTACAACATCTAGAAAATAAAAATAAACATTATTTACTAAGATAACTGTACCTTTTTAGAGGTAAAAAATGTTTCAATTTTTGGACAAACTATAAATTAAAAAGAGTACCACTACTATGAAGAACTCACAATTAACCTGTGCTTTTCATATGCATTTGGAAAACAACACTCACCCTTAAAAGAAAAACAAACATCCTCTTTACCTGATACATTCATATAGTATACAATTTTATTAACACTATAAAGGTTGTTTCCAAATAGAGACCTAGATCTCAAAAAAAAGTTCTTAGTGAAAAATAAATCTATATCATAAACTGTAGTAGCATAAAAAACTCATCTTAAGTTCCTAACAACAAAAAAATCTACTTCTTAAACTTATAAGATCTCAGAAAATCTGCATGTAAAATCTGTTTTAAACTTCAAGAAGTAGAATATTCAAATGTTAAGAATTAAACTTTATCTGGCACCCTGCCACTTTTGATTTGGGTTTCTCAATATAAAGCAAAAGCATGATTTAACATATTTTTACATCTATATGTATGTGCACAGTATTAGGTGGGACTCAAAACTGTTTATAGCTCACTGCATCTTTGCTTAGACATTATCATGTTTAGCTATCATAAGACAGCTACAAATGTAAGGCAAATCAGATACCCCTCCTTCCCAAAAAAATGCTACATGGATTACCAACTTATTTCCTCATCATCAAAGGCTGGCAGACCTTTGACCCGATAACTTGGGTTTAAGGACAAATTTACTCTAAAACAATGATATATAATACCTTGCCTTTTTCTAGATGATTCAGAAAATCTTGCTAAAGGAAATTTATTTAACTCTGAAGTCCAGATATCTATATATATCAAGAACCCTAAGGGTAAACTATTACAGATACTTCCATTTTCAATATAACCTTCCTTTACCACAGATTCCAAACTCAGGATATTAACCACAGCCAAAATGTTCTACCTAACAGCAGATTCCTTTGGTCTAATCATCCAGATCTGTATTAATTCTTCATATTACCATCTGCCTAGATGTTTAGAATGCTTTCTGTCAGATATTTGTATGTTCTAACTCAGTTACTTGTTTCTTAAAAGAGATCTAAAGATGCTCACCATCACTGCCCTAAAAATTTATTCATCAACTTTACTTATTTAGAGAATGTTTTTAAGGGATGGAGGACACAAGGGTAAGGCAGAAAAAGAGACATCATTGTTTGGTAATATGCATTTTATAACTAGAAGAATTTGATAATATAATTTTTTTCCATCAATTTCTTTGTGTGTTCTCACTTGTATCAACAGATACTCTACCATGCTTGGTTTAATTTTTGAGACTTTTGATAATTGTAAGTAATGAAATATAACAAATCATAATAATAAATGACAATGAAAAACACATTATATAAAATCTGAAAGAGGTTGGATTTAAATATATATTTAAATGTCATGTTATTTGTAAATATAAAGAAAGCAATCTGTAATTTTAAAAGATGTTAAAATATGTTATTGTTTGAAGGGTGAAAAATTGCTTTTACACTGATGTGTGCATGAACAATCCACAAAGAAAAAACCTTAACAAGTACAATCCAATCATTTTAGCCTGTAGAGATTATTTTCAAATGCATATTTAAGCAACTTGCAGAGAGAAAAAGAAACAAACAGAAAAACACAGGAAAAGACAAAGAAAAATTAAACTGAAAGGGTAAGTAAAACATAGATTTACAAAACTGTACACCATGCTCATGTAAAATGTCTTCCGTATGTCCCGTTTTGAACTATAACACCAAGACAAGTAACTTTACTATTCTAAAACTCTCTCAGGTTCTCCATTTAAGCCATTGAGTTAGTAAAATGGAACAGTGCACATTTCGGAATCATGACATATCTAAATGCTTTTAAATTTACCTAAGAGGGATAACAATGGATTTACACTGCACACATGGCATAAAAGGCATGACAATCACTTAGCTTTTGCAATCACACTTGTCACTCTGCCAGCCACTTAAAATTCTGCATGTTGCTAGGAACACATAAAATTTTTAAAAATCAAAATGAAATATCCAATTTGGGGAGAAAATAAACTGGTTTTTATGGTTGCCAATTTTCTTTAAAAAATTGCATCAAAAAAGTATTTTAAACTAATCGGGAGACTTTTCCAAAGTAAATTTCATTTTATCTAAAAATGGAAAACCAAAAGGGTTAGAATAAATAGACAGACAGACATGTACACTTTCAGTAAAATTACAAAGAAAAATCAATGTGCACCACCTATTTATATTGAAAATACTATTTTGATTGCTTTATAAACTTTCATCTTACCAAAATGGAGAAGGGTAGAATAATTTCCTGACACGTAAGAAGGGAAACATGGCAAACAGGCTAGGAAACAAAATCTGGAAAGAAAAGTCAAGGATAGGAATGTCTAGAAAAAAGACTAAACCAAAATAATTATTTTACAAAACAGGAAAAAAGAACAGCTGTAGAATGAATAAAACCATTTCAATGTTTGGCATATAACTATTTGCAGGTTATCTAACTTACACAAGATGTGTATTAGATTTTAGGTTTATTCCTTTGTCTTTCAAAGGAAAAAATTAATATTAATTTCAATATGCATTAGGCTTGAAAGCTCTGTTTTATTACTCACTGAACACCAAGACAGCTTCCAAAAGGATGGCTTAGTGCTTTAAGAGGCCAGAGTAATAAATCAGTATGTTAACATCTCATAATGTAGTTATAACTAAAATTAAATCACCCTTTAGTCAACTTTTAGTCTTTAGCCCATGACAGAAATTACAATGATGAAAAGCAATTTTAATTCTATGGTATCAAAGAAGAAAAATATGTTAAATGTTACTTTAAAACATCTCATTATAAAAATATGACAATACTATCTTTAAAATATTGCAAACATATATAAATAAAAATTCACTAATTCCTTATATGGTTCTTACAAGTCTTTAATATGGAATAATCAAGGAAATTATTAGAAACTAAATTTTTGAAAATCCCAATTTAGACATAGGCTCACTCACTTTTTGACAGTATACATACTCAACAGGTACCTACTAGAAAAATTCCACCATAAATTCTTTCTGGAAGAAATGAGTAAATATTGGAAAAGTGATTTTTAAAAAATAGATCAACTATCAAACCTGAAGAAAAAGAATTTTGTTTCCTTATTCAACAGTGAATGCTTCCATCAAATAATATGTTTCTTTAACATTGTTTTTGCTTGTTTTTGAGACAGGGTCTCACTTTATCACTCAGGGTGGAGAATGGCCCATGATCAAGGCTCACTACAACCTCCAACTCTCAGGCTCAAGCAATCCTCTCATCTCAGCCTCCCTCCCCTAATAGCTGGGACTACAGGTATGCACCACCATGACCGACTTTTCTGTTTGTTTTGTTTTGTTTTTCCCTTGTAGAGACAATGTCTCAGTGTGTTGCCCAGGCTAGTCCCTAACTCCTGGATGCAAGCAATCTTCCTGCTTTGGCCTCCCAAAGTGCTGTAATCACAGGTGTAAAATTGTCTTTTAATCCTAGAAAATCTTATCCCAGAAAAATAACCAAAAGATAAAAATACTACACTGTAAGGGAAGTTCATCAGTTGGGCTTTCTTAATGTAACAGCTAGGTTACTATAAAATTTTCTATCTGATATTTTAAAACTAATTGGAAAATAATTTTACCTTTCAGATAATGTTCGATTTTAGAAATATGTGGACCGCACAAACTTTATTATTAATTAGTAGTGGCAGTGAGATTTTCCTTAAACCAATTTTTGAGGAAGTGTTTGTAACAGAGAAAAAAAATGTAAGCATGGTTCTTAACAGCTCTGATATTTATAAAACTACATTATATATGAAAATATATATGAAGAAACTAAAAAGTTATGTCATGTCATAAAAAAAGAAAATTTGAGTGTTCTGGATATGTCTTTCTTGCAAGTACAAAAGTCACAGTCTGTATTTATATACATGGTTTATGTATACACATAAATGTTTACATTTGACTTTATAAATAAAAAAATAATATCAGAGAATAGAGTCAGGGATTTATATCCTTTATAGATTAGAACAAAAACAAAATGAGATGGGTTTAATTAACAACGGAGAAGGGAGGGAAGAAGAAAAATAACATTTGTAATAACTTCCATGTCAGGTACTCCAGTAGACATATACATGTCCTAAATCATTCCATTGTTAGTTAAGGGAAAAAACATTAAGAAACTTGCTATCAGCAATCAACTAACAAATAAAATCCCCTTTTTAAACAGCAAAATCAGTGTACTTTCTATTACTTCACCTCAAATTATTATGGTACATAATAATAAAATTTTCAATAAGTTTTCATGTATATTTTCAACTTTCTAAAACATATTAAAAAGGCTAGTTTCATACATTATATTTGAGGCTGTATTTGAGCCAAAACACTTTTTTTAAGTTATTAACATCACAGAAGAGGTAGAACACTTTTATATTACTAATACTAGGAACATATGATGGTCTAATTTAAAAAGGTAGCAGGAATCTCTGAATTAATGCTTAGGACAAATGCCATTTACTGCCATCAATTAGGCCTTCATGCAACTGTGACTAAAGAACTAATAAGGATATAACACTTGCTCTGTAAATAATTTGGTATTTAACATGAACTCAGTCCTCAACATTTGTATTTTCTTAACTGAAGTGTAGTACACCAAAGGTAGTGTAATTAAATGGAAGGAATAAATAACAGCATCCTGAAAGTAACTGTTAGTTTTCAGACATGGCGAAGTCTGAGCATCTCTAGATTATTTCCTTATTTATTGGAAGAAAAGAACAAATCAGAAATAAGATGTTTTCATACCCTGTTCCACTAAGTCTGTGTTTATTATATGGGGAGTAAATAACAGCTATGGATAAAAGATAGATATAGGGCCCCCAAAACCAAGTAAAAACAGAACTTTCCAATCATCGATAGTTTGAAATTGTTACATATATTATTTTTACTAGAAATATGGCAGTGTTTTGTGACTCTACATAGAAAAAAGTTTTGAAAAAAATGAAAATGTTTTAATTTTCCTAAATTTAAAAAAATATTCCACTGCCTTGACATAAACTAAATAGAGCAAACATTCGAGATGAATACAAAGCAAGAGATACAGATTCCAGGTGTTACTCCTTCAATTCCCAAAGGGACTCCATCAACATTTAAAGACTTGTGTGATAAAGATCCCACAAATTTGTAAAAATTAAAAATATAGCTGCAATAACTTTTTTATTTCCAGAGTTAAAATTCTGCAAATAATCTGCTTTTCTTCAATTGTAACTTGTAAAACACATTTCTAGCTAATTTTAAATCAAACAGAAAACCATATGAACTGACAAAATTCTATTTACTGATAAGCTCAATAAAAAATAAAAGATTTTTTAAAGCATGAGGATTTTTCTTTTTTTCATTGAATAATTACTAAGAATAATTTTCACCATATGAAACATACTGAATAAATTTCAATGAATTTCTCTAAAATACAATCAACATCTCAATTCCCAGAAATCAGTAGTAAATAGAGCTTCATCCATAGTAGGCAGGATCCAACTATATGACAAGGAAGATTTCTTCAAAGAATATCACAGAATAAAGGAGAAAATTTAAAGAGTTTGCTTTGATTTATGTGGATAGTGTATATTTGATGTGTCTGTACCTTACTTTGTTTAGGCACAAAAGAGGAGGGAAAAAAGCATTTGCTTCGTAAACTAAGAACATATATGAGAAAGGGCTTTGAAAAAGTTGAAAAAACTAAAAACAAATGCAAAGCACTCTACAAAATATTAACAATTACCAAAAAATAATGAAGGCACAATGCCTTTAATAATGAAAACTATCAAGACTTCTCTGTTTCAAGTTTTCCATTTTATAATAATAGGTATTTTAAGAAAAATAGGAAGATGTACAGACTAGACAAATAAAGATGATCAGTAAGCTGAAAAATCAGTCCTAAAGCTTAAAAAAAAAATAAGCAAAAGAAGTGAAGCCTGCTGATATACAGAGTTAGAAAAATATTCTCCTATACTGAAAACAAAAGTATCTCTGGATTAAGAGGAGAAATTTAAAGTCCTATTAATCTAATGCTGACACTGAAAGTCTACATTATCTCATTTTTAAACTTTAAAGAGAAAGTAACAGACGGATCATCTTTTAAAATCTATTTCAATCCTCTGATCAGTAAGAAACCTCTGACCAGTAAGGACCATAACAATTTTACTTACTTATCTTCTTTTATTATTTCTACTTTGGCTACTAAATTTTAAACAAATTTCAACTGCGTAATTTCAACTTTATCCACACACAAACTGCATACACATATCTCTTATTTTAAATAGTTGCTGAAACCTATATTGACAGTTTGTTTTTTTTTTTTTTTAACACATCACCATTGTCCATGCTGACCTACCTGTTTCTTTGGAGGTTCTTACTGTAAGTGAATCAAGGTCTACTGATTTTGGTCTAAGTGGCAACTGTTCAGAATCTAGCTTTGGTTTTGATACAGGCTCAGTTTCAAATTTTGCTGAAATGGTAGAAACTTCCCCATTAATCCTGAAGTAAGAAAAAAACATGCAAAAATCACTAGTAAGAAACATGACTTTAAAAAAAAATTGTGATTTAATGACATTAAAGATTTTATGGTCTAATACTGATTACTTTCTGTTCTGTAAAACTATTTCTATAAACGTAAAACTCTGTCCTAAGACTGATCACAATAAAATCAGAAATGTGAGAACAGTTTAAGTGTAGAAAATTATTATAAATATAAAATTAACATTCAACAGATCTACAGAAAATATGGAAAATCATACTTAAAAATTAAACTGCAACAAGATGGACAACTTTAGAAGGTAAGTAACAGAGCTAAATTAAAATGTACAGAATACTCCTGTTTTTTTTATAATTGTTTTATTATTTTAAGTTATTTTTTATTTCAACAGGTTTTTGGGAAACAGGTGGTGTTTAGTTACATGAATAAGTTCTTCACTGGTGATTTCTAAAATTTTGGTGCACCCACCACCCAAGCAGTGTACACTGTACCCAATGTGTAGTCTTTTATCCTTCACTTCCCTCTCACCCTTTCCCTCAAAGTCCCCAAAGTCCAATGTATCATTCTTAAGCTTTCGTATCCTCATAGCTTAGCTCCCACATATAAGGGAGAACGCACAATGTTTGATTTTCCATTCCTGAGTTACTTCACTTTGAATAATGGTCTCCAATTCCATCCAGGTTGTTGTGAATGCCATTATTTAATTCCTTTTTATGGCTGAGTAGTATTCCATGGTATATATATATGTACACCACAATTTCTTTATTCACTCACTGATTGATGGGTATCTGAGCTGGTTCCATACTTTTGCAATTGAGAATTATGCTGCTATAAACATGCATGTGCATGTATCTCTTTCATATAATGACTTCTTTTCTTCTGGGTAGTTAATCCAGTAGTGGGACTGCTGGATCAAATGGGAGATCTACTTTTAGCTCTTCAAGGAATCTCTGTACTGTTTTCCATAGTGGTTGTACAAGTTGATATTTCCACCGGCAGTGCAGAAGTGTTCCCTTTTCATCACATCCATGTTAATATCTATTATTTTTTGATTATGGCCATTCTTGCAGGAGTGAGGTGGTATCACATTGTGGTTTTGATTTGCATTCCCTGATAATTCATGATTTTGATCATTTTTCCATATGCTTGTTGGCCATTTGGACAATTGTCTATTCATGTGCTTAGCCCTCTTTTTGTTGAGATTGTTTGTTTCTTTCTTGCTTTTAAAGTTTATCGATGATGTTTTTAAAAAGGGCTGTGACTTGGGAAGGCTACGGCAGAAGACTAAATGGGCTGTCTCTCCTTGACTACTGCTGCATCTTGGTGATTAGCTCTTGAATGCATGTGGCAAGAAGAGACACCACAGGTCCTTTGACTGTCCTGAGTGGCTGGGACCCACTGCACTCTGGAGTCCTCCTTCCAAAGAGGAAATTTTCCGAGGATTATCAATCAGGCCAACTTTATTCCAGACAGCCACCTTTGAAGCCTTGACAGTCCCAAGCTCCATGACAGCAGTGCCTGCCTTCTTACTGAAAAGCACCAGGTGGAGAACTCCACCATACTTTTGTAAAAGCCACAAGAGTACGTCTTTGGAGTAGCTGCCTTCTGACTCGCCATTCTTGCACTTCCATTTCAGCTTTAGTTTGGGGTTCCTTTCAGTATTTTCTGACGTTTAGTCTTGAGTCAAGTTCCTGGCACATCTGCTCCTGGATCATCATCTGCTGTTTTCCAGCTGCCGGGAACACTCTTCACTAAGATGTCCTGGTGCTGTAGCTTTCCTCCATCTTCTCACTCACCTAAGCCTGGGCCTCCAAGTTAAGATTAGCTTTCCTTTTTCTCTCATCAAGCCTCTGGGTCCTCTATGCTGTCTGCTTCTTGGCTTTTCTAACTTCATCATATGAAGCCCTGGCTGCAGCAAGGCCTGAGAAAGCTAGTGGAGGAGTTCAGATGCTCTGTGATTATCCAATTTTTGTCTGGGTGGCAGGAGAGAGCCTTCTGCCTACACACCTCCTTCATTTCTATCTGCTGCTTTCTCCATGATGCCTAGCAGCACAAATAGGTCCATCTCTAAGAGCTCTTGGTTTGCCATGGTTCCAACCCTGACTGGATTTGTACTAAAACTCTCCAAGTGTTTTAAGTGTGCACAAGGACTGTTGGCATAGCCAGCAGAATAGTGCTCAGCCCCCTGGGAATTTACTGCTGCATTTTAATAACCAAGGCTCCAATCAAACTGCCAGAACCTGCCTGTGATCTTTGTGTACATATCCAGCTTTCAACATGTTTATATTCTTCTTGGATGTTATTTACAATGTTAAAATAAATTTTAACTTTTCAAAAAGATAATGGATAATAACTGTTGGTGAGCATCTTAAGAAAAGGGAACGCTTGCACACTGTTGATAGGAATGTAAATTACTACAGCCATTATGGAAAACAGTATAGAGGTCCCTTGAGAAATTAAAAACAGAATTGTCATATGATCTGGTAATCCCATTACTGGGTATGTATCCAAAGGAAATAAAATCAATGTCAAAGAGATATCTGGACCCCCATGTTTACTGCAGCACTATTCACAACAGCCAAAATTTGGAAGCAACCTAAAGTATCAATGGATGAATGAATAAAGAAAATGTGGCATATATACTCAAGGAATACTATTTAGCCATAAAAAAAGAAAGCAAGCCTGCCATTTGCGACAACATCAACAAATCTGGAGGATGTTAAGTGAAATAAGCCAGGCACAGAAAGACAAATACCACATGTTCTCCACTCAAATGTGAAGTCTAAAAAAGTTGATCCTATAGAAATAGAGAGTAGAATGGTGATTACCAGAGCCTAAAGTGGTTGTGGGTTGGAGGGGAATGGAGAGATGTAGTCAAGGAATACATATTTATAGTCAGACAGAAGGAGTAAGTTCAAGAAATCCATTGTACATTATGGTGCCTGCAGTTAATGGTGATGTACTGCATTCTTTAAAAATGCTAACAGTGAATGTTAAGTGTTCTCATCACAAAAATAATTAACTATGTGAAGTTATCACATAGTTACTCATAATTAACAATCTCAACTACGTGAGGCTGTTAATTAGCTAGATGTAGCCATTCCTCAATGTATTTATATATATATATATATATAATTTTTAAAACATCATGTTGTATTTAATAAATACATACAATTGTATATGTCAATTTTAAAAATAAATATATTTGAAAAATAAGAAAAAACTTACCTGGAGATTTAGAAAGGCAACAGAGCAATTAAGGTCAAAGGTGAATAAATCAATAAGCTAACTTAAAATTAGGTAAAACTTACCTGGCTATAGGAGGTGGTGGAGGAACTGGTTTTTCAGGTCGCTTTGGGTATGTTGTTCCAGAAGATCTCAATAAATTATTGGCTTTGGTAGGTGGAGTAGGTTTCTTGGGCGGGACTAGTGGAGCTGCTGGTTTAGAAGGTTTCTGTTCCAGTGTTGATTTTTCATCTAAGATTAAAAATATTTAACAAGTTATTAACAATCAAAATTATTTAGGTTTTTCTATTTCTAAAAGTTTGTATCATGCTGGGAAGTGTGAGACAGGGGCAGACGTGAACTTTCATTCTCTATATTTGTGTAGGTGTGTACTGTCTTATTTATTTTAAAGTTATATTTTAATTTAATAAGCCTGAATAGCTTTTAAAAAAAAGGTATACTAGGGTAGAGAGGAAAACCACTAATAAGCTTCTGATTAATAGATAATGCCTACTTTTTATTATGTTCCCAGGAACCTTTGCTTCTAAGCATAGTAGTCCATCTCAAATACAAGTCCATCTCAAATACAACCACATATGATTTCACTTTAAACAGAAAATTAGCTGGACTTAAATCCAGACTATTTTCTGAAGCTGAAATATAGAGCACTAAAAACAAGTAGTACCTCAAGTGCTACATAACATTCAAATTTAAAAAGCATAATGGTGAGGGAAAAATGTTAAGAGAAACTAGGGCTAGATTGATTAGCCACAGATAAAAATTATAGGCTTATATTTATAATTCTTACTACTGTGGTAAGAATTTTATTAGTACCATTTCATTTAATAATGCAATGAAATGGGTATTTCCACTTGATGTAGAAGAAAATAAGCTGAAAAAAAAATAACAATTTTGAGAATTTTACACTATGTTAACAAGGACAATTTTATCACCAAAAAGGCCTCAAGTACTCTTTTACTATACATGACATATCTGCTTCCTGATCTTTCAGGAGTTCATAACAGGTATGGAAATTGACACATGTGTACATGAGATATTCAAAATACCGCAGTCAGCTAAAATGTGTCATAAGACATATATACAAAAATAAAAAGCTCCTAAGCACAATACTGAATAATTTTCAAAATATACTTGGTCTTTGAAAAGAATGTCTAACAGAAAACTACAAATGATTCTATAAGATTTCCTATCAACCAGAAACTGATGATTATAAAACCTGAACATCACAGCACATAAACCTCTCCCTAAAAATTACAAGTTTTATTTCACAATGAAAATACAGAATACTGGGGCCGGGCGCGGTGGCTCAAGCCTGTAATCCCAGCACTTTGGGAGGCCGAGGCGGGTGGATCACGAGGTCAAGAGATCGAGACCATCCTGGTCAACATGGTGAAACCCCGTCTCTACTAAAAATACAAAAAATTAGCTGGGCATGGTGGTGCGTGCCTGTAATCCCAGCTACTCAGGAGGCTGAGGCAGGAGAATTGCCTGAACCCAGGAGGCGGAGGTTGCGGTGAGCCGAGATCGCGCCATTGCACTCCAGCCTGGGTAACAAGAGCGAAACTCCGTCTCAAAAAAAAAAAAAAAAAAAAAGAAAAAGAAAATACAGAATACTATTTTCTCACTTTTACCACTTATAGCTCCTTTGAACCACATGAAAACATAGCTTAGTCTATTAAAATTCTGATCATCATTTGGTACAAAAATCTATTTTTATATGGCCTCAAGATATAACAACGTAGTATATAATTATACCATCAGGGTTTAAAAAAAACAAACTCTCCAGTTGAAATAATGAAATAAAGCTATTTATATAGTGGTAACAACCAGCCAAACTTAAATTTCTAGAAAATATTAAGAAAGATGTTTTATATAAAATACTATGAAAAATGGTCAAAGGATATACATTAAAGAGAGGTTCACTGATTGAATATATTTCTTTTAACAGATACATAAATTACAGCTTGAAATTAATTCTGTAGTGTTAGTAATCCCAGCACTTTGGGAAGCTGAGGCAGGTGGATCATGAGGTCAGGAGTTCAAGACCAGTCTGGCCAAGATGGTGAAACCCCATCTCTATACTAAAAATACAAAACTTAGCCAGGTGCAATGGCAGGTGCCTGCAATCCCAGCTACTCAGGATGCTGACACAGGAGAATCACTTGAACCCTGAAGATTTCTCCCATTCCGCAGGTTGTCTTTTTACTTTCTTAATGTCCTTTAATGTACAGAAGTTTTTAATTTCGATAAAGTACAGTTATTTTTTCTTTTGTTAAATATGCTTTTCGTGACACAGTCTAAAACTAACAAACTACATTTCTCTAGATTCATAACACTCTGAGACACCAAATGTGTGGAGATTTATTCCCACAACAATGAATTATCTGGCACCAACTGGGTGTCCTATAATTTAATTCAATTCTGACACTATCTTTCTGGAGTTAGCATCAGATTCCACAAGTTAACGGCTCAGACCCACAAGAATACTCTCACTTCAGATTCCAATCTCAAGTCCAGTCCTCTCGTACTTCTGATCAACTGGCTATAAATTGGGGATTCCCATGACCACCTCATCTGGTTCAATAATGTTAAAACAGCTTACAGAACTCAGGAAGGCAATTTACTTACTGTTACCAGTTTCTTATAAAGGATACAGCTCAAAACAGCCAAATGGAACAGATGCAAGATATGCAGAAAGAGATGCAGAGTTTCTGTAACTTCTCCAAATGTACCACCTTCCCATCCTCTCAATGTGTTCACCAACCCAGGAGCTCTCTAAACTCTGTTGTTTAGGGTTTTTAATGAAAGCTGATCATTTGATTGGTTCCCCTGGCAACAAGGCCCCTACCCATCCTTAGGGGCTTTACAAAAGCCTCCTTGTTAATATAAACTCAGATGTGGCTGAAACACACTTGTTATGAGTAACAAAAGATGTTCCTCTCGCCTTTATCACTCAGAAAATTTCAAGGCCTTTAGGAGCTATGTGCCAGAAACCAGGGACAAATATCAAATATGCATTCCTTATTATATCACAATATCACACATACCTAAAAATCTACTGCCACATCCAAGGTCGTGAAGATTTACTCTTGTTTTCATCTAAAGTTCTAACTCATATTTAAGGTCAATGATCCATTTTCAGTTACTCTTTGCATATAGTGCGGTCTAGGGCTCCAACTTCATTCTTTTGAGGACACCCAGCTGTAAGTACTAGAATTTTAGCTCAGCTAAAAATTTGCCAAATCCAAGAGAAAATGTAGACTTAAGGAAAAAAAAAAAGTTCTACATGAGCTACCTGAATACACAAGGAAGAATTACACAAGGTACAGATATTATGTTAATTTAAGATACAGGCTGGGTGCGGTTGCTCATGCCTGTAATCCAAACATTTTGGGAGGCTGAGATGGGAGCACCGCTTGAAGCCAGGAGTTCATGACAAGCCTGGGCAATACGCCACCTCTACAAAAGAATAAAAAATTAAAAAATGAGCCAGGCATGGTGGCATGTGCCTTTAGTCTCAGCTACTCAGGAGACTGAGATGAGAGAATCACCTGAGCCCAAGAGTGTGAGGTTGCAGTGGGATATGATGACATCACTGCACTCCAGCCTGGGCAACAGAGAGAGACCCTGTCTCTAAGGGAAAAAAAAAGCAATACAAAAGAGTTACCACAAGTATATAAAATTGTTTTTTAAATGTCTAAAATGTATCCTAACAAAATAAAACAAAATAATTGATATGCCCTTTTATTTGCTATAGAATATAGCAATACATTAATAACACTGTATGTAATAAGTTAACCCACTTATTAATTCATATGAGGGTCAATGGCCTACTGCATGAATTGAAATAGAAAAATAAGTGATAATATGGAGCGATTCCAAGTGCATAAATTCTAATTTAAAAAATCAAATAGTCTTTGTGATCACTTGGAGATACCTTAGAGAAAAAAACAGTATTACCTAAAAGGTAGTGAGTCTGTTCTTAATTGAATCTATTTTCCTAACATTTTAGAAAATTTTAGGACACAATATATTTATTCGTATTTATCTCACTGAAGTTTAAACTGCAGTATAACATTTTCAGAAACATTAAGTATAAAGTTTGAGAAACTATTACCATATGAAAACACACCCAAGTAACCACCATAGGCCAAGAACTGAACATTATCCACATCTCCGAAGTTACCCTTATACTTCTTCCCAATCACTACCCCACTGCTCCTACCCAAAGCTGTCTTCTAACACCACAGATTATTTATGAATATTTTTAACTTTACTTCAGTGAAATCCTAAGAGTCATGCTGCTGTGTCTATCTCTAGTTCATTTATTTGTTGTTACGTGGTATCATGGTATATGAATATACCTCAACTCTTTTATCCATTCTTTTGCTGATGAACATTTGTGCTATTTCAAATGGCAACTTTGCTATAAATTTATAAACTTTGTTATAAATTGCACTGAATCTAGATTGCTTTGGGTAGTACAGAAGTTTTAACAATATTGATTCTTCCAATCTTTGAACATGGAATATTTTTCCAATTTTGTGTGTAGTTTTAACAATATTGATTCTTCCAATCTTTGAACATGGAATATTTTTCCAATTTTGTGTGTGTCTTCTTCAATTTTTTGCCTCAATATTTTCTTTGCATATATCCAGGTTGGACTGCAGAGTATTCTTGGTTCTGTGGCCTGATGCTTTTAATCACTTTTGGAAAATTGAAAACCATTGGTATCTTCAAATATAGTTTCTGCTCCATTTTTTCTCCTTCCTTTCTGGTCCTCTAATTACATGTACATAGACCTTCCCACTATACAATCATCCCTCCGTATATACAAGAAATTGATGCTAAGACCCTCATGTATACCAAAATCCACAAATACTCAAGTCCCATAGTGAGCACTGTGGAAGCTGCCTGCACAAAAGTTGGCTCTCCTCATACACAGGTTTTGCATTCTCACCAATACTATATTTTTATTTCCCATTAGGCTAAAAAAAAAAATCTGTGTATAAGTGGACCCCGTGTAGTTCAAACCCATGTTGTTCAAGAGTCAACCATATTCTTTATGTCTCTTAAGGTCTAGTCTATATTTTCTATCTTTTTTGTCTCTTTATGTTTCAGTTCAGATATCTTCTTTTAAAAATAGACATACATACATTAACATTTGTGTGTATATATTTACATATACTTATAAGTGTAAACAAATTCATTTAAGCTTAGATTGACTTATA